CGGGGGGGCCGGACGGGACGGTGACGGTCCCCGGCGCGGCGGGCCCGGCGCGGCCGCTGGCGGAGCATGAGGGAGCCATGAGCCCGCTGCGGGGGTGGCTGCTGGCCGCGCTGCTCTCGCTCGCCCCGCGGGCAGGTAGGTCCGGACCCGCTCCCGCTCCGACATCGCCCCGGTACCGGCCCCGGTACCGGCCCCCGGTACCGGCCGCGCATCGCGCCCGCCGCGCTCCCGGCCCCGCTCCCGGCCCCGCATCGCCCCGCTCCGCTCCCGGCCCCGCCGCCGCCGCTGCGGCTTTTTCGCTGCATCGACACATTTTTCCGCAGCGCCGCCCCGCAGAGCCCCGGGAGGGGCCGGGCCCGCGATCCCCCCGCACCTGCCCGGTCCCGGCCCCGCAGCCCCGGCTCCGCACCTGCCCCGGCCCCGCACCCGCCCCGCAGCCCCGCGTCCCCCCCGGCCCCGGCCCCGCACCTGCGGCGGCCCCGCGCCCTCCACCGCGCTGTCCCCGCAGCGGCCCCCGCCGTGCTCCCTCTCCGGAGGTGGCCGCATAGGATCCCCTGCGTCCCCTCCAGAATGTGTCCTCTTCTCGCATCCCCCGTTCCCTGCATGCCCCATAGATGTCCTCATAGCAGCCATCCACGTCCCCTTGGGATGTGTCCCCGTAGCGGCCACGCACCGTGTCCCCTGGCTGTCACCTCCAAAGGTGTCCCTGCACCATTCCTGCTGTCCCCTCGTTGTCCCCTCTAGGGGGGTGTCCCCATGTCAGTCTTCCATCTCCCATTCAGTGGGTCCATCCCGGCCCTCTCTGTCCCCTGGGTGTCCCCTCTGAGGTGTGTCCCCATTCCAGCCCCCCCTTTTCCCTGCATGCTCCCTCCAGGATATGCTGACCCCACCCCAACCTTTCCTCCAGGTGTGCTGGCATTTCTGAGCCCCCTCTCTCCTGCATGCCCCCTTCTGGGATGCATCACTTTATCAGCCACCCATGTCCCCTGTGTGTCCCCTCCAGGACATGCCGCTGTATCTGATACCTCCTCAGCTTCCCCACCCCTGTGTCTGTGTTCCCCTCCTGGTCACTCCCAGCCCGTGCTTGCTGGCTGTCCCCTCCTGGGCACACCGGGGTATCTGGATGTTCCCCAGCTGTGCACCCTGGGACAATCCCTGTACCCACCCTCCAGGTTCCCTGGGCATCCCATCCAGGACATGAGTGTCCCCTTCTTGGGCCACCCCCTGAGCACACTCACCAACTCTGTCCCCTCCTGTTCCCACCCCTGCGTGTTCCCATCTTCCTGTCCCTCCTCATCCTCAGCCCTCCACATCTCCTTGTCCCCAGGCCCCTGTGTCTTTGTCCCTTCTCCAACCCCAGGTCCCCGTCCCCCCAGCCCTCCCAGGGTGGCCGCGACCCTGTCCCGTCTCCCGCAGGTCCTGCCACGCAGGCCGGAGCGCTGCCGCGGAGGCTCCCACGGGCCGCATGGCAGGAAGGGCGGGTGCTCTCCCAAATCACCCACCCCAGCAGGCTGGTGGGGCAGAGCTCGGGCGGAGAAGTCCCAAAGCATCAGCTGGACACCAGGGTCAGGCATGAGCCCGGAGGAGGAGGAGGAGGACCCGTAAGTGAACGACAGCCCCCAACCCGTTCCCTTTCCGGGGTCCCTGGCAGGTGGCAGCTCCAGGTCCCCAGGCAGCCGGCGTCGCTGGCCCAGCCACACCCCAGCGTGTTCGCGGGTACCGGCATCCCGAACCGGAGCCCTCGTGCCCCCAGGGACCATCCCGCTGCCGTGCTCCCCGGAGGGACACCGACTTGTGCCGCAAAATCCCATTAAATCTGGGAACCGGCAGCGCGCGGGTGTTGGGAGGGATGGAGCGGGAGCGGGCAGGTGGCGAGCACAGGAACAGACTCGTGGGTCCGGCAAGGAAGGGCTCAGGCCGCGTGGGAGCGGCCCCCAGGCCCCACAGTGCCGCTCCCCAGCCCAGCCCAGGCTCGGGCAGTGCCCCCCGCCCACCGCTGCCTGTCCCTGCGGTTCGGGGAGCAGCAACGCGCCCCATCCGGCACGGGGGAGTTGCGGTGTTGGCAGCCGCGGAGGCCGGCGCCTATCGATCCCCGTGCGCGCCGGATAAAGGCGAGATGAGGAGCTGCTCTCGCCGCAGAGGTGATTTACACCCGGCTTCGAGTGAAACCGCCGGACGCCGGCAGCCGCCGCGCTGGCGGGGGGCCAGGGAGGTGTTAAACCGGGATGTCGCGGCGGGAGGGGGCAGCGGAGATCCGCGGGAATTCGGGGCTGGCTCCCGCAGGCAGAACCCTCTCCGGCAGTGCTGCCGGACCCCAGGGATGCTGTCAGGGCCTGGGACACCCCTTCCCTGTGATGGCAGACGGCTCCTCATCCCTGTGTCCTCGTCCCGAGCTGCGCCTGGTTCCCAGCAAGGGGACGGGCACGCCAGGATGGCTTTGGCTTTTCTGCCGTTTCCCCGTGTGAAGCACCGGAGGGAGCCGCAGGCGGTGCCGGGCTCTCACCGGTGCTCCGAGTTTGCCGGGTCCGCGGCCGCGCCGCAGCGCTCAGCTCCCGCTGCCGGCGGCAGGAATTGGGAATCAGGAATTAGGTCAGGAGCGGCGGCGCCGCAGGGCGGGAGGAGAGGCGGCTCGGCTGCCGCGGCCGGGCTGGGCCCAGCGCCGGGGGGACCCTCCGGCACCCCAACCCAGCACGGCAGCCGCGGAGGGGGCGGTGGGACGCAGGTGCCATCCCAGTGCTCCAGGGGAGATGGGTTTAAGGAAAAACAAACAAACAAACAAAAAAAAAAAAAAAAAAAACCCCGGTTTTTCTTTATGCTGAATTTTTCGGTAAAAAAAAAAAAAAAGTGCATCTTCACAGGTGGCGTATTTGGGTTGGGGTTTTAATGATTATTTTAGTTATGAATATTTGTGGGGCTGACTGCTCTGGCTCTGCCCCCTGCAGGGGCTGCACCTGGCACAGGTGAGCTTCATGGTGCGTGCCTTCGGCTCAGCCTTCACCCTCGATCTCCGGCTGAACCAGTGAGTGACCCGGGGGTCCGGGCAGGGAGCCAGCACGGGGCTGCTGCTGCCCCCGGGCGGAGGGGAGGAGCTGGGGGTGCCCGGGGATGGGGGAGCTGTGCTGAGCACCCCAGCAGTGCGAGCTCAGCCGGGGATGGAGCAGAGGGGACATGGAGCCATGGGGTGCCAGCGCCCTCCCAAACTGGGGGGTCCCGTGCTGGGGTGGTACCTTGTATATGGATGGTGGGTGGTCTCCCACACCGGGGTGGTGCCCTGCACGTGGATCGCTGCTGTCGTCTCCCTCTTCCTCCTCTTCCTCCCCACCCCACGGCCTCTTACCCCCCACCTGCTCCCGGCAGCCACCTCCTCGCCTCCCACTACGTGGAGCGGCACGTCGGCGCGGGCAGCAACGGCAGCCACAGCACGGTAAGATGTGTGCCACGCTGTGCCAAACCATGCTGTGCCAAACCACGCTGTGCCATACTGTGCCAAACTGCACCATGCTGTGTCAAACTGTGCTGTGCCAGTGCAAGGGTTATGGTGGCCAGTTCATAAATCCCAGAAAAGCCCAGGAATGGTCCCCAGCACTCATTATCCCCCCACCCGCCCCTGGGTGCCCCTGGGTGCCCAGCCCCTGCCTGAAGGGGTGCTGCTGCCATGGTGCTGGGATCTCCTCGAGCGGGGGATCCCGGGTGCTGTGGGCACCACGCACACCCTGGGGGTGTCTGGAAGTGAACCCCGGAGCCCTGAGCCTGGTGCGGCCCTGGGGGTGCGGGGCAGGGCAGCGCCCGAGGCTCAGCGCCCGTCCCCTCCGCAGGGCGCGGGGGAGCACTGCTACTACCAGGGCCGGGTCCGGGGGCAGCCCCGCTCCTTCGCCGCTCTCTCCAGCTGCCAGGGCCTGCGGTGAGTATCCCCAGTGCCCGCAGGGGGGCCGGGGGCTGCACCCCTCTGCACCCCGACACGCCCGCCTCTGTTTGCAGCGGGGTCTTCTCGGACGGCCGAGCCACGTACCTGATCGAGCCCCAGGCGGGCGCCGAGCGCGGGGAGGTGAGCGGTGGCACTGCCAGGTGCCTGCCCGAGTACCCCAAGGCTGCTTTAGGGGTCTGGCTGTGGCTTGGGGACAGCCATGGGGACACGGGGACGTGGCAGTCGTCCCCTCCCACGCATGGCCGTGACACACCTCTCCCCGTGGCAGGGTCTTCGACCACACATCGTGCAGCGCATCCCCAGCTGCCCCCGACTGGGTGAGCCTTCTCACAAAGCTCTTCCCGGGGATTTGCGGTGGTCACCTCGGTGGCCCTGTGTCCTGGTGTCACACCAGCTCTGTCCCTTCCCTGCAGGCTGCCTCTTCCCTGCGCTGAGCCAGCGTGTCCCGGGTGGGATTCCAAAGCTGCGGCGGCGGCGGCAGGTCAGTGAGAACAGCGGGGTACGCAGGGGACAGAGGACACGGGCAGGGAACGAGTGTGCTGGACCCTGGTTGATCTCTGCCCGTGGGCTGCGGGTGCAGCCAGGCTCGTCCATGGGTGTTTGCAGAGTCCTGTTCCTGCCTGGGCTCAGTGGTGTCCAGGGGACCACTGGAACACTGGTGGGGCTGCATGCCAACCACCCAGTGGCTCTGCCCGCTCCCTGCATCCCAAACATCCCTGGAGTGCCCGGGAGCCCGTCCGGGAGCCGGTGCCAGCCCAGCCGCGGGTTCCCCCTGCAGGTCCGCCGAGCCCAGCACACGGTGCACAGCGAGACCAAGTACATCGAGCTGGCCGTGGTGAACGACCATCAGCTGGTGAGCGGGGGGTTCCCGGGATGGCGGGGGCGGTGAGGGGTCGGTCTGGCCCCCCCCCAATCCCACCTGGCCCTGGTGTGCCCCCAGTTCCTGCAGCTCCGCAAGTCCGTAGTTCTCACCAGCAACTTCGCCAAGTCCGTGGTCAACCTGGCTGACATGGTGAGGGGGGGTCCCTGGAAGGAATTTGTCCCTGGGAGCGTTGTCCCTGGGAGGATAATCCCTGGCATCTGATGGCTTTGTCCCTTGGGGGCTTCATTACCCTTCATTCCTAAGGGATTTATCCCCAGTGGGTTTACTCCTGGGTTTATCCCCCACCCTGGTGGGTTTGTCCCTGGGGGGGGCGGTTATCCTTGAGGGGGACTGTTCCCAGCAGCTGGTGGATTTGTTCCCAGGGACTTTGTCCCTAGTTCCTGGTGGTTTACCCCGGGGTTTGGTCCTCAGCACCTGCTGCGTTGGTCCCTTGAGAGTTTGGCCCCAGGGAGTTTGTCCCACTCTTGTTTTTTCCTGTGGCACATGGTGGGTTTGTCCCAGCAGTCCTTTGTCCCTGGGGAATTGTCCTGGTGATGCGTGTGCCCAGCTCCTGCAGTCATCCACAGGGGTTTATCCCCAGGAGCTGGTGGGTTTGTCCCTGGGAGGGGTCGCGTCCCCAGCACAGTCCCTTTGTCCCCAAAGATCTACAAGGAGCAGCTGAACACCCGCATCGTGCTGGTGGCCATGGAGACGTGGGCGGCCGAGGACCGGATCCGGATGGGGCAAGACTCTCTGGAGACCCTGAACGAGTTTGTGAAGTACCGGCGCGAGGGGCTGGCAGAGCACAGTGACACCGTCCACCTCTTCTCGTGAGCGCTGTGGCCACGTGTCCCCCCCGGGGCCGGGCACAGCGTCCCCCGTCCCCACCATCCTCTTCCTCGCAGGGGTCGGACGTTTCAGAGCAGCCGCAGCGGCACCGCCTTTGTCGGGGGCATCTGCTCCCCTGCCCGCGCCGGCGGCGTCAACGAGGTGGGTGAGGCGCGACCCCCGCGCGGGGGGCTGGGGACAGGGACGGGGGTCCCCGCGGTGACACCGCGTCCCTCCCGCGCAGTACGGCAACGTGGCGGCCATGGCGGTGACACTGGCACAGACACTGGGGCAGAACGTGGGCATGATGTGGAACAAGCACCGCACGGCCGCAGGTAGCCACCTCCCGCGGGGCCGTGGGCACCGTGGGGACACGCCGCGGTGCCGCCAGGCTGGCGGCGGGACACTCTGCAGCCGCAGCCCTCTCCTCTCCTCGCAGGGGACTGCCGCTGCCCGGACTCGTGGCTGGGCTGTATCATGGAGGACACAGGGTGGGTGCCCGCTCGGGGTGGCACTGCCACATCCCCTGCCACAGCTCGCGTCACCGCTGCCGGCGGGGACATCGCCGAGGTCCCGCCCGGGTTCGTGTGCCCGGCAGTGCCCCCGGGCAGGGTGTGGCGGTGTGACAGTGACCCCCACCCCACAGGTACTACCTGCCACGGAAGTTCTCCCGCTGCAGCATCGATGAGTACAACCAGTTCCTGCAGGACGGCGGCGGCAGCTGCCTCTTCAACAAACCCCTGAAGGTAACGGCCCCCCGCCCCTCTGGGGGTCACAGTGGGGAGCGATGCTCTGGGGGCAGCTTCGGGGTCCCTCGCGGTGTCCCCAGCCCCTGCCACAGCCAAGGAGCTGCTGCTGAGCTCCCAGAGCGGGGGGACCTCGTGCCTGGCAGCAGTTTGGGGGTGCTGCCATTCCCCGGGCATGTGATGCCCTTTCCGGAGGGCTCACGGCAGCAGCTGGCTCGGGGTCCCCAGCAGCTCCCCTGTGTTTGTGTCCTGTCCCCGCTCGGTCCCCGCAGCTCCTGGACCCCCCGGAGTGCGGCAATGGCTTCGTGGAGGCGGGCGAGGAGTGCGACTGCGGCTCGCTGGCGGTGAGCAGGGCCAGGGGCTGCTCCCCCCGCCCTGGGGGCTGCAGGGCTGCCAGGAGCTGATTCCTGCTGCTGTCCTGGCAGGAGTGTGCGAGGAGCGGCGGAAACTGCTGCAAGAAATGCACCCTGACCCACGACGCCATGTGCAGCGATGGGCTCTGCTGCAAGGGCTGCAAGGTGTGGGGCTGGGAGCGTCCAGTGGGCTCGAGGGGCAGGGTCCAGATGTGGATCCACCGGGGTCCTGTCCCGTTCCTGCTGAGTTGGGTTTGTGTCCCGGGCAGTACGAGCCACGTGGAGTGTCCTGCCGGGAGGCTGTGAACGAGTGTGACATCCCCGAGACCTGCACCGGGGACTCCAGCCAGGTGAGTGGGGCCAGGGGACACGGTGGGACACATTGTGGGGCCTTGTGCCACCACCCAACCTCTTCTCCATGTCCCCACAGTGTCCCCCCAACCTCCACAAGCTGGATGGATACTTCTGTGAGAACGAGCAGGTGAGTTCAGCCCAGCCCGACCTGGGCATATCCCCACAGGCTCCAGCTCTGGGCTTGTGCATGTTAAAAGTGCATTTGGGACTGTCCAAGGCCCTGCTGGACAGGACTTGGAGCAGCCTGGCCTGGTGGGAGCTGTCCCTGCCCATGGCAGGGGATGGAACTGGATGAGCTTTGAGATCCCTTCCAACCCAAACCAGTTTGTGACTTTTTGTCAGCAATCACAGCCACAGCTGAGCCATGCACACACACCTGTATATGGGTTTTGGGGTTTTGGGGGGCCCTGAGCCCCTGGGTGTGGGTTTTGGGGGTCCTGCTGTCCCCTGGCTGTGCACACATGTGGCTTCTGGTCCCTGCACCTCACAGCTGGGGCAGTGCTCCTGGGACCAGGCATGGGGGGGATGTGGGTGGGGGCTCATTGTCCCTGCAGCACCTCCCTGCAGGGCACCTGTGTGAGCCCCTGTCCAGCCTTGTCACCCCTCCCCAGTCCCCTGACTGCTCTCCTGTCCCCTGAACATCCTCCAGGATCCCTGACCCCTCTCCAGCCTTGTCACCGCTCCCCAGTCCCCTGAGCCCCCAGCCCTGACCCCTGTCCCCTCCCCGCAGGGACGATGCTACGGCGGGCGCTGCAAAACTCGGGACCGTCAGTGCAACGCGCTGTGGGGCCGCAGTGAGTGTTGGCCGGGGGCGGGAGGGGACGCAGGGGGTGATGAGCAGGTGACAATCGCTCTCTGCCAGGCTCGGCCGAGCGCTTCTGCTACGAGAAGCTGAACGTGGAGGGGACGGAGCGGGGGAACTGCGGGCGCGAGGGCCTGGGCTGGCTGCAGTGCAACAAGCAGTGAGTGACCCCTGTCCCCGCGGCCCCTCCCGGTGCCACCCGCCGCCCTGGTGACACCACCGCTGCCTTGAAGGGACGTCCTCTGCGGCTTCCTCCTCTGCGCCAACATCTCGGGCTCGCCGCGGCTGGGGGAGCTCAGCGGGGAGATCGCCACCACCACCTTCTACCACCAGAACCGCTACGTGGACTGCAGGTACTGTCACCGCGGGCACTGCCACCGCGGGCACTGCCATCACGGGAACTGCCACCGCGGGTGCTGCCACCGCGGGCACTGCCACCACCGGCACTGCCACCGCGGGCACTGCCACTGCGGGTACTGTCACCGCGGGCACTGCCACCGCGGGCACTGCCACCACCGGCACTGCCACCGCGGGCACTGCCACCACCGGCACTGCCACCACCGGCACTGCCACCGCGGGCACTGCCACCGCGGGCACCGGCACGGCTCGGCCCCCAGCGGTGCCCGTGTCACCGTGCGGCTGTCCTGGCACAGGGGCGGCCACGTGCAGCTGGTGGATGGCTCGGACCTGAGCTACGTGGAGGACGGGACGCCCTGCGGGCCCGGAATGCTCTGTCTCGACCGCAAATGCCTTCCAGCCACCGCCTTTAACTTCAGCTCCTGCCCCGGCAGCTGGGACGGGAAGATCTGCTTCGACCACGGGGTGAGGGGCGCGCCGGGGACAGGGGGACACCCGGGCACTGTCACGGTCGCGGCGGTGACGCCGTCCTCTCACAGGTTTGCAGCAACGAGGGGAAGTGCATCTGCCGGGCGGAGTGGACAGGGAAGGACTGCAGCGTCTACGATCCCATCCCGGAGCCGAAGCCGACGGGGGAGACGGAGCGATACAAGGGTCCGTGTGCCCGCGGGGACGAGGCTCCCTGCTGTCCCCAGGCCACACAGCCCGGGCTGTCCCGCTTTGTCCCCAGCCACACCGCGGCTCCAGAGTGCCCCCACACCCTGGTGCCGCAGCTCAGCTGGGCAGGGCTGGCTTTGTCCCCCCTCCCAGGTCCCCACAGCTCTGGGTCATGCCTGGGGCTGTGTCCCCATGTCCCCGCATCCCGTCCCCACTGAGGTGGGTCCCTGTGTTGGGTTTGCCTCCCTCCCGGGTCCCCACAGCACTGGGACTGCCCTGGGGCTGTGTCCCTGTGTCCCCCTGTCCCCTCCCCACTGACGTGTTCCCTGTGACTGGGTTTGTCCCCTTCCCGACTCCCCGTGGCCCTGGGGCGTCCCTGGGGCTATGTCCCCATGTCCTCTTCCCACTGACGTGTGACCCGTCCCCTCCTCCCTGTCCCGTCTGTCACAGGTCCCAGTGGCACCAATATCATTATCGGCTCCATCGCGGGGGCCGTGCTGGTGGCTGCCATCGTCCTAGGGGGGACAGGCTGGGGATTTAAGTAAGCAGCCACCGCATGGCTCGTCCCCTCTGCTGCTGTCACCGGCCACGTCCCCTCTGCACAGCGTCACCGCGCCAGGGCCGGGCCGTGCCCTGCCGGGGCACTGCAGTCCCCCCGGGGCTGGGCGTCCCCGCGGTGTGGCCTCTGGTCCCCTTGGCCCTGCCTGGCCCCCTGACCCTGCCTGGTCCCTTGTCCCAGCCCCTGCCTGCCCCCCGGCCCTGCCTGCCCTGCCTGCATGTGCCATTGGGGTGTCACTGTCACCCGGACCCCATGGCCGTGTCTGTCCCCAAGCATGGGGTGCTTGGGCGGGGCCCCCCGTGTGTGCTCCTGCCTGGCACTGGGACACTGCTGCTGCCTGTGGGACCAGGGACACGGGGTGGGGGCACGCACCAGGGGGGACAGCGGGGACACGGGGGTGGCACTAATGCTCCTCTCCTCTCCCCCTGCCACCCCCCCAAGGAACATCCGCCGAGGAAGGTACGACCCGGCGCAGCAGGGAGTGTAACCGTGTCCCCCCCATCGTCTCGTCACCGTCCCTGTCACCGTCACCGTCCGGCAGCCTGACGGCGTGGGAGCCCCCGGGCCCGTCTGTCCGTGTGCTGTGTGTCCGGCCGTGCTGTCTCCATCTCTGTGCCCCCAGGGCTGAAGGGCAGCAGCGGCTGGGGGGGCCTGGCAGCAGCCCCTCCCCCGGTGCTGGCTCATTTCAGCTCAGTGTCCCCCCATGTGTCACCCCCCTGTCACAGCCCCCCACTAAACGCACCCCACTTCTGTGTTGCAGGTCCGGGGGGGCCTGAGCGGGGCCGCTCCGCCCCACCCCCCCAGCGCCTCATTAACAGCAATTAAATGGGGCGGCGCTGCCGAGGGTCCGGCCGAGGAGGAGAGCGGGGGGGGCACCCGGGAGCGCCCCCCGGCCCCCCCGCAGCGCCACGAATGTACGGGGACCCCCGGCCCCCCGGGCAGGCGGCACTGGAGGAATGAATGTACCTGCGGGGCCAGCGGGAGCCCCGGCCCACCCCCCCTGCCCTCCAGAGCATCTTCCAGCCGGGGCCCTGGGACCCCAAAAGGCAGCCCAGTGTCCCCAGCACGAGGCCAGTGTCCCCAGGACGAGGCCAGTGTCCCCAGTACCAGGCCAGTGCTCTTCCCCAGTTCAGGGCCTGGAGTCGTGTCCCCCCCACCCAGTGCCTGGGCTGGGTCCCACGGGGGACAGGTCCTGCACCCCCAGATGTGCCTCCCCACCCCCCAAAGCAGCTCAGCAGCCCCGTGTGGGGTTTGTCCCCTCAAATTCTCCCCCCATCCCCCAAGCCATGGGACCCCGAAGTCTCTGGTAGAGAGACAGGCACCCACAGGTGGCAGCTCTGCCTCAAGGCTTCCCCCACGTCCCCAGCTCAGGCAGGTGAGCCCCAAACTGGTGACACTGGGGTTGGGGGGGACAGAAGGGCCCCCAGGGGGACCAGGGTACAGGGTGAGCCCTGGGCTGGGGACACAGGGCTTGCTGGGTGACACTTGTCACCCCAGCCCCAGGGCTTGTGGCACCTGTTCCCCCCGGACTGGCTGTCCCCCACCCCCATGGCAGGTCGGGGGGGACATCACCCTTTCCCTGTGGCACGTGGCACATGTCACCCTGCATGGGGTGGCTCTGCAGAGCCACTCAAAGCACAGCACCTCGGAGCACTGGGGGCCACGCTGGTCCCTTTAACCACTGGTGACACTCAGCATGGAGGGGACATCCCTGGTGACACTTGGTGACACATCGTAGTGTGTGTTTGTATGGATGGGGACACTCCTGGGGACACCCAGCACGGGGACAATGGGGGATGATACCTACTGTCCACGGCAGTGTGGGGGTGTCCCCTCTGTGTCCCCTCCTTGCCCAGAGTCCCTGCCCACCACCAGGTCCCTTTGCCATGGAGACAGAGTGACCAAGGGTGTCCCCAAGCCCAGACATGACCAAAGTGTGGTGGCACCCATCCTGGTGTGACAGCCCCTCTGGACACCCACGGGTGCTGTGGCTGTGGTGGCACCCCAGGGGACAGAGTGGGAGGTGACAGCAGGACAGGGGTGGCTGGACATCCCCTGGCTGGGATCTAGTGGTGGCTGCTTGTGTGACATTGGGCTGGGACACGTGGGGACCTGGGACCACCGTGGGCATCAGAGGTCTGGGATCAGCCCCCATCTCTATCACTGTCACCACAGTGTCCCCACAGCTGCCACAGCCACAGTGCCAGGGTGCTCCCTGCGGCGAGGGGACACCCCCTGTTCAGAGCAAGAAGCCACCATTGTCACTGGGTTTGGGGACATTAATATACATATATATATATATATAAATACTGGGATTTTTCTTAATGATTTTAACGCTGTCAGGGCGGGAGGGCCCGCGGCGGGGCGGGGGGCACCCGGTGCTTCCAGAGTCAAGACAGCAGAGCCCCCCCGGCCCCCGCTGCTCCCACGGGCCCGGCCCGGCCCGGGGACGGGCACAGCGGGGCGGGGTCCCCGTCCCCCGCTCCCCGCACCGCCGCCACCCCGCACCGCCTGCTCCGCTGCCGCCGGCCCGCCCGGCCCGAGCTCCCGCTTTGCACGCGCTGGAGCCGCCGCTCCCGGTTCGGCCCCGGCCGCCTCCTGCAATGTCGCAGAATTTATTTACAATAAAGATTTGGAAAACGATGGGACTCCGCTTGTCAGCCGCGTGGGGAGGGGGGGACGGGGCCAGGATTTCATCTGTGAGGATGCTCCGGTCCTTGCATCCCTCCAGCTCATCCCACTGCTGTCCCCCGTGTCCCACATTCCGCCCTGGCCTGTCCCCCACGACTGCCGTGCTGAGTCTGGCACAGCCGGTATGGCTCCAGCATGGAGAAGATGGCACATGGTGAGTGTCACCCAGCTCCCTCCCTGTCAGCTTTTGCCTGGCTGGGGACCCTGTCCCACCGTGGGGACCCGTGGCTGCTCCTCGTCCCATCACAGGGGTGCTCAGTCCCTGTGCAAGGACAGGACTCCATAGCTGTCCCAGCACGGGGACACGGCTCCATCGCTGTCCCAGCACGGGAACACGGCTCCATCGCTGTCCCAGCACGGGGACACTGCTCCATCCGTGTCCCAGCAAGGGGACACGGCTCCATCCCAGTCCCAGCACGGGGACACGGCTCCACCCCTGTCCCAGCACGGGGACACCGCTCCATCTCTGTCCCAGCGCAGGGACACCGCTCCATCCCTGTCCCAGCGCAGGGACACGGCTCCATCTCTGTCCCAGCACGGGGACACCGCTCCATCTCTGTCCCAGCGCAGGGACACCGCTCCATCCCTGTCCCAGCGCAGGGACACGGCTCCATCTCTGTCCCAGCACGGGGACACCGCTCCATCCCGGGGACACCACCCTCAGCTGAGCGAGCACCCTGGCAGCAGGGGATTGGGGACATGTCCCCAGCCCGCAGAGGGACCCTCGAGGACGGAGCACGGCACCAGCCCGGGGGGAGCTCCGCTGGGCAGCGCGGTCACCGGGCACGGCCGGGCTCGCTCCCCGGCACAGCCGCTCTCCTCGCACACCGGCCAGGAGAGGGCTCTCCCAGCACGGCCCACGGGCGCGCAGGAACCGCTCCGAGCTCCCCAGGACGCTGCAGGGCCACGCGTGTCCCCGCGGTGCCAGCCCCGCACGGGGGGAGCGCATCCCTGCTCGGGGTCCTGCGCTGCTCAGGGGTCACCACACCAGCGTCACCCCCCTGGGGGAGCCCTTCTCTGCCCGCCGGGGACAAGGGGCAGCATTCAGGACAATTCCTGCTGTGCCACCTCCCCCAGAGCCCCCAGAGTGGGGCTGGCGGTGCCCCCTCCCTGCGGGGCCCTGGAGGGACTCGCTCTGGTGTCCCCGGGGGTGGCAGGAGAACGCCCGGCCCCAGCTCCCGGCGGGGATGAGCTGAGCTCCAGCCAGGGCTGCTGGGGGTGCCTGAGCCCCTCGGGGTGCTGGGGGTGACTGGGCACCTCGGGGTGCTGGGGGTCCCTGAGCCCCTCGGGCTGCTGAGGGTGACTGGGCACCTCGGGGTGCTGCTCCCTCGGGAGGACACCCAGCCCTCTCTGGCTCCAGCCCACCTCATTGAAGCCGTCACCATCAGCCTCGTGCTCTGCCCCCGTGGCTGGACAGGGTGAGGGGTGAGCAAGAGGTTGTGGTTCCTCTGGCTGTGGCAGTGACCAGGGGGTGGGGGGGTCTGCACTGGACCTGCTGACCCCTGTGTCCTCCTGGCCAGGCCAAGGCTGGCAGCAAACGGGGCTGCTCCCCCCGGGGTGGCTGCAGGGGCAGCTCTGCACCCCGTGAGGGGTTTGATGCAGTTTTGCTCCATCCACAGCAGAGCTGTGCCACAGCGCGGAGTTATTTTGGGCTGGTGTCGAGATACCAGCGCGATGAGTGAGTCAGAAACATTCCAGATGCACTGGCTGCTTCTGAATCTTGAGTTATTCAAAATCTTCGGGGTCAGGAGGGCAAAAAACAGGAATTCAAGAGGGCCCAGCTGAGCCTGCTGCCCTGCAGGGTCACACAACACCCACAGCTCTTGATCAGGGCAGGGTTCCTCTGCCAGGAGCTGGGACACAAGGACACCACCGTGTGTTGAATGTGCCTGGCAGAAGGGAGATGGTCCTTGGCCAACTGCCCAGGGCCACAAAAGCTGCAGGAGGCAGCAGGTCTGGTGCCCAGAGACACACAACACCCCAGGCTGCCCTTTCTCTGCATCACAAACTTTCTTTTCCAGCTCCCCCCGTGGCTGCTCCAGGCACAGAGCATTCCTGCCTGTCCTCAAGCTCCTTCCTCCTCCTAATTCACTGGTTCTGTCAGGGACAGCCCCTGTGCTCAGCTCTGATCTCCACTCCTCACCCACCTGCCGAAGGTCAACCACAGAGCCCATGGGAGAAGCCACTCTCCTTTTCCTGTGCTGAAATCAGAGAATCGGGGAAGTGTTTAGTTGGAAAAGACCTCTAAGATCATTGAGTTCAACCACTCCCAGCACTGCCAAGGCCACCACTGCCCCCTGTCCCCAAGTGCCACATCCACAGGTTTTTAAACACCCCAGGGACAGTGACTCCACCACTGCCCTGGGAAGATGTGCCAATGCCTCAGCACCTTTCCAAGAAGCAATTTTCCCGAGATCCAGCCTAAACTTCCCCTGGCCCAGCCTGAGGCCATTCCCTCTCCTCCTGTCCCTGTTCCCTGGAGCACAGCCCGACCCCCCGGCTGTCCCCTCCTGTCAGGAGCTGTGCAGAGCCACAAGGGCCCCCTGAGCCTCCTTTGCTCCAGGCTGAGCCCACCCCCAGCTCCCTCAGCCCCTCCTCATCAACTCCTGCTCAAGACCCTGAACTTGAGAAACAGAATCCCAGCAAACCCCTCATTATTAGCAAACCCAAAGCAAGAAGAACCCAATGCCTCCCCCACGCTGTGTCTGTGCCATTGCATAATGGGAAACCCTCGAACCCGAAATATCCCTGCTCCTCTGGTTGTTGAAGCTCATGATTGACCATCTGGCTGCGATTTCCCAGCTCTAATCTGACGAGGCAGGAGCTGTTTTGGGGTGAGCACGAGGACGAAAGGCCCCGAGGAGTCCCCGGGAAGGTGTGGTGTGAGGATGTGCTTGTGGGTCCCAGGACGAGGGAAGAGATGAATCTGACTCCTTATTTCTTAGAAGGCTGATTTATGATATTATGATATTATATGATATTAAAAAGTGCTATACTAAAGCTATACTAAAAGAATAGAAGGAAGGATTTTCATCAGAAGGCTGGAAAGGAATGAATAATAAAAACTCGTGACAGACAGAGTCCAACACAGCTGGCTGTGATTGGTCATTAAGCAAAAACAACTCACATGAGACCAACCAAAGATGCACCTGTTGGTAAACAACCTCCAGACCACATTCCAAAGCAATCAGAGAGGTGATTGTTTACATTTCTTTTCTGGGGCTTCTCAGCTTCTCAGGAGAAAATCCCGGCGAAAGGATTTTCATAAAATATCCCAGTGACAGTGGTTGGCCAGGCTGGGGGTGCTGAGGGGGCTCAGGCTGCTCCCCCATCACAGAGCTGGGGTGTTTGGGGCACCTCAGGAGCACAGGACACATCAGATGGTCGGGAAGCACCTCTGCAGTGTGATGGGAAATGTGAGCCATGGGGGACATCCATGGATCCTCGGGGTTACCTCCCAGGAAAGAGCACCCCAAAAAGAGTTCCACAACCACGATTTGCCATGCAAATAAAAGGAAATTCTGAGCACAGAGAGGACAGTGGGATTGCAGCTGAGAAACCCTCCCAGGGCTGGCACCTGCCTGGCACAGAGCTGCCCCTTGGCCAGAACACTCACACCTGGAGTAACGGGTGCTCCCTGCTCCAGGAATGACCCTGGAACACAGCAGGGCTTCATCCAGCTGTGCCAGCTGTGATCCTGGTGAAAAACGAGAGAAGAGGGAGAGGGAGGGGGAGAGGTCACTCTGGCTCTCTCCAGAGTCCCAGCACAGTGTGCCCTGTGATGGAGCATCTTCACCGAGCCTCTCCAAGTCGAGGCCTTTATTTGAGACATGGAAAATTCAGGGAAATTGATGGGTTTGTCACCATGGAGAAGCTCAGCAGGAGGAGTATGCACACCTCAGGTGGAAGCAGATCTCAGCTCTGTCTCGCCTACGATGGGAATTTTGCTTTTTAGGCTCCAGATGGAAACAAGAAACAAACCCAGGCTTGGGGAAGAGGCCATTTGGGGAAAGAGGCTCTTGGTTCCACACGCCTTACGTGGAGCTGACACTGCACAGGGCACCCCACAATCAGCCAGGGGGGAAGGAGAGAGTCAGCACCCAGCTGCCAAGGCTCTGCCAAGCACAGCACAGCCACAGTGGAGGCGGCTCCACCTCTGGGTGCACCAGGAGGAGCCAGGCAGGCTGGGCTGGAAGGGATTAGGAAGAAGGGTCGCAGGAGCTTTAGCAAGGGCTTGTGGCAGCCTGGCAAACCCAGCAGGTCGTGGTGACTGCAGTGACCTCCCAGGCTTCCCCTGCTGGTTGTGCTGCTGAGCCACTCGGGCTGAGCAGAGACTCAGGAGATCGAGCCCATCTCGCTCCAGCCCCCTGCCAGGGGCAGGAACAACTTCCACTGGCCCAGGCTGCTCAGAGCTCCCCCCAGCCTGGCCTCGGACACTGCAGGGTTGGTGCAGCCACAGCTGCTCTGGGCAAGCTGTGCTGTGCCTTACCACCCCAGTAATAAAAACCTTCTTTCTTAAATTTAGTCTAAATCGATCCTCCTCCAACATAAACCCATCACCCCTCGTCCTGTCCCAACAGGCACCACTGAAGAGTTGGTCCCCATCCTCTTATCCCCTTGAGCACTGAAAATCCTGTGATAACACACCAGAGTTCAGGGAATTTGCAGGGGAAAGCCCAGATTATTCAGCTTTTAGGTAAAGACACCTGAGCTGAAACCTTCTGCTGACCCCTGACTCGATTTCTGCCAGCAGAGGGGATCCCCCAACAGAGAGAATAAGGACACCAGCAGAAACTCGGGCTTGCAAGGCTGCCCACAAAACAGACCCAGGTCCAACCCCAAATCACTTGTAGGGATTCTTGGAGCCTTGAGGAGCTCAGCGGGAGGGACCTGCCGAGGGCAGCCCGGCGTGGGAGGCTGGGGATGGAGCGTCCCGGGGCACTGAACGTCCAGAAAAGAGAAAAGGGAAGAGGAGCCGGGCCCCGAGGGCAGCTCAGGGACTGAGGAGGCGGCAGGAACAGCCCCACGGCACCGGGGACACGGCGGAATCCCAGCGGGAACCCCAGGGGGAATCCCAGCGGGAACCCCAGCGGGAATCCCACGGAGCCGCCCGGGGCCAAGGGGAGCTCAGGGGTCACAGCAGCGCCTGTTGGAGCCCAGGTGACCAGGGAAGGAAGGGAAGGGAAGGATTTCCACCAGCCCATGGCCCGCAAACAGGACTGAAGGCTTTGGTGTCCTTTAGCTCGGGCTGCGCGGATCTCCCGGGGAAAACGGGGGAAACCCAATTCCGCGGCCAGAGCGAGCAGCATTCCCAGTGCCCTTTAAGGAGCTATCTCCCGCTGCCAGGCGCTGCCTGCATCCCTCGTAGGTCTTTTCCAGCTCACAGCCCGTGTCATTCCAGGCGCGGGCCGAGCTCCCGGCTCGGTTTAACCCCTGCGCGGCCGCGGCGGAGCCGGCGTGACCCCAGTGCGAGCTGATGGAGCGGCGCGCTTTGTCACGGCTTGTCACGGTTCAAATCCCGGTCAGCGCAGCTCCGTGCGGTCCCGGGGGCCCCGGGATGCCGGGTTCACCCTGGCAGCCGAGCTCGGGCTCCCAGCGGGGCGGCGGCACCCGCACGGCCCGGCCGGAGGAGCGGCCGGGGAGCGGAGGTCGCCGAGTTAAACTGGCAGCTGACAAAGGGAGGGTTTGTTTTCCCATTTCCTGAGCTTTGCTTCCTAGTCCTTGAGAATTTAAATTCGCAGCTAGAATGAGCAGTTTGTTAAATCAGGTTTGAGGTCTCCCAAGGTCCTGGCTCTCCTCTCTGGGATGTCGGTGGTGCTGCAGCCTCCAGGTCAGAGAATTTTATGTAACTCTCTCCTCACCCTGCTCTGGCTATGGCACCTTCTCTGTGGTCTCCTTTCTTCACAAGGATCCTCCCCTTCCTTCACTGGATAGCCAAATACCCAAAAGGGCTAAATTTGAGCACCGCAGAGCATCCTAATGTAGTGTTCTGTCAAAAACCCAGCAGTGCCTTATGCTGCTGCATCCAGCTGGTCAAAAGGGAAGGCAAGAGGGGAAAAGGAACCAGATTTCAGAGGCAACAATTAAACCAGGATTTCATTTCACAGAGTCATTAATGTTGGAAGAGACCTCTGAGACCACCAAGCCCAACCTTGGACTCATCACCCCCTTGTCACCCAGGCCAGTGGGTGACAGTGTCACCCACCCACGGAGTGCCACTGAATCATTAAATCACACCCTGCTGAGCTCCTCCCCTCGAGCCATGGACTGTCCCCCTCCTCTGAGCACAGGGGACAAGCCCCAGGGACAGTGTGACCTCTTGGAGACACTGCCAAGGCAACTTTGGGGCACCTTGGCAATCCCAGGTTCTGGCTGAGCCGAGGGATAAGGCTCTTCCCCTTCCTGTGTCTCTCACCACAAATCCTTTCGGGTGAGGTGGTTGTTTTATTCCTGCAGAGCACCGTGTTCCCAGCAGCATCCACGAGCTCCTGGCTGCAGCAGGAGGGGATTCACTGCTCAGCATCCCCACCCTGGGCTCATCCTCTGCTCCCCTCTCTGTACCTCTCTCCCTGCACTCCACTCAATACTCATTTTTTCTGAGACACAGAGAGTGCATCTGGGTTTGTAGCACAGGAGGTTCTCAGCACTGCCAGGCTGCCCTGACCTGCCCAGCCCCAATCTCCTCACTCACAACAGTTCTTACCTGTCTGCAGCACAGCACTTCTGGTCACCAGCACCTTTCCTGGCACTGGAAGGGTCCCAAACTTCCCACTAACTCTCTCGAAGGCAGCAGCACCTGCAGGAGACCTGGAGATTATTATATTATGTATATTATGTAGATAGCAGATAAATAAAACCATAAAAATCAGGCTGCTTTGTGTTGAAAAGACCTTTTTAAAGAACATCCAGTGCCACTCCTGCCATGGCAGGCCATTCCCCCTTGCCCTGCCACTCACAAGGGCCCTGGTGTGTTCCCAAAGCTCTTTTCAGCACAGAACAGGCTTTTTTAAAAATTTGTTGGTCATGGTTTTTCAGGTGATTTCAATTTCATCAAAAATGTTATGACAAGTCTGGCAAGCATTCACAAATGGGAACATCAATTTTCTAAGATAAATTGATAATAAATCAATTTTTCAGGGGAGGAAAAAAAGAAATAACTCCCTTCAGCCATTATACATCTTTAAATGAGGGTAAGACAAGAGCTGAGGAGCCACCCTGGTGCCTCCCAGCACTCCCAGCACACCAGTGCTTGTTTGCTGGCTGAAGGAATCCCATCCATCAGCAGGGATCCTGAGTGCCATGGGAGCCCCCCGAGGAGTCTCCTGGCTGAGCACACTCCAGACAGCCCCCAGGAGTGCTTCACCCCGAGATCACTCACCTCTGCTGGGGAAAAGTGCCTTCCCTGCTCTGCTCCTGCTCCTGCTCAGCCACGTTCACCCCACAGGGGGAATCCAGGCTTGGGCAGCCACAGTCACAGCTCAGGCACAGGAGAAGGGCTCGGTGCCCCCTCCCCAGGGTCCGCGTGGAAGCAGCCACGGGGGCTCCACTCCTGTACCCTGTGCAATAAAAACAACAGGGAGGAGGACAGCAAAACCTGGCCTGCACAGAAATGGCTCCTAAGCCCCCAAAAGCCCTGTTCAGATGTCTTTAAATCCTCCTTCCAAGGCGTTTTGCCCAGCTATCAACATGGAATTTACACAACAGCGATAATGTCACGCTGCAGAAAACAAAATGTCATTTCCCCAGCAATGATGAACTGGTATTTGGAGCCTCCTCTGATACACAGAAAATGAATGACAATTTCCCTGGGAGCAGAAGCCTCCAGGCTCCTTCCCCTGGTGCTTTGGAGGGTGGATTACAGCGAGTAATGGATTAACAGAACATCTTTTAACTCAATGCCCTTCAGGAACTGCTCCACAGTGTCCCATTCACAGGCATCAGGCACTGAGCACACCTCAATGAACAGCTCCTTTGGATGGAGCCTCACAGCAGAAAATTGTGTTCCTGAGACCAGGAATTCCTGAATTATTAACAAATCAAGCTACAAGAATGTAACACACCTCTACACAAGCAGCTACAAAAGCGTAGCTGAACTCCAGGTAGGAACACTGAACGTTAACAATATTTAACACCCAACCCATGCCTCCAAAGGGAAAATCACTGTGCAGAGGGCATCTCGTACTGGCAATCCCTTACCCTCAGCTCCCAGCAGAGGAAAGCACGTGGAGCTGTCAGCAGGCACCACAAAGGCTCCTCTGGGATCACGTCTAGACGTGTGCTGCTGGGAGAGCTCCTCAGGCACCCCAGGCATCTGCCCGGGGCTGGCAGATGTGACAGGGACCCCTGGGAGCTGCTTTGCTCCCTCCTGGAGCAGCATCTGGAGGCTACACAGACACCCAGGGGCACCTCCAGCAGCTGTGCACATCTGCCCGGGGCGCTGAGCCGAGCCTGCAGCGCGTGTGTGACCCCAGCTCTGACCTCTGCTGCTTCTCTGGAGCACAGGATCAAACACAACCATCTCAGGAGGGGCTTCTACCAGACCACTGCCCCCCAAATGTGTCACCAGGGCAGGGTACTGGGGCTGGACCCACTTTTTCTCTCACTTTAGCCGTGGTTAAAATAATTTCAGTCCTTCTCACTGTGAATTCGCTGTTCAACAGAAGCTTCTGACCCTAAAACCACCAGGGCAAGGCTGGGCTGGGGCCTGTGGCTGCCTGCAGGGACTCACCCGGGGACAAAACCGTGTGTGTAACGATTGCAGGGGGCCTGGGAGCAGCAGGAGCCCAGATCCCGGTGGTCCCTGCCCTGGAAGCTGTGCTGGCCCAGACCTGGCCCCTGTTATCCCTGCACTGGAAGCCTGGCTCAGGCTGGGGCTGCCCTTCCCAGGCACGGAGCTGGCAGAGGCATTCCCTGGGCAGCCTGTGGGCTGCTCGGGTGCCCTGGCAGCGCAGAAAAGAGAAATTGTTGGTGCTGGAGCTGGCCTGGGTGGCCAGCACCCCTCCTGCCCAGCAGCCCGGGAGCAGGGCAGCCCCGCAGCCCTTTCCTCCCTCCGGACAAACAGCCCTTGTTCCAAGCCCCGGAACAAACCCAGCTCCCTGCCAGCTGCGGGCAGGACAAACACTCCCTGCCTCCTTCCGCAGCCCGAGATCGGGCTGGCAGCGAGGGGACAGCAGGGACACTGAGCGGAGCCACCCTGTGAAGGCACAGCCACCAACTGGGGCAGCAAATCCCGCCCGGGTCACTGGGCACGCCCGCCTGCTCCTTCATATGCAGAAATGCAGATTTCCCTCTTTTCCACCCTTTCCGAGGTCTGACTTCTCAACTTGGTGGGTTTTCCCTTTTCTATTTCCCTCTTTTCCACCCTTTCCGAGGTCTGCCTCCCCAGCTTGGTGGGTTTTCCCTTTTCTAATGCCATTGTTCTCACCCCTGCACAGGTAATTCTGAGCCGACTCTTTATTGACATAAACAAGATCACATCCATAAAAATTCTAAACTGTGGCTCTAAGACAAATTAAATATCCCCCATATTCTATTGCTGGAAAAAAGAAGCCATCTCACTCAGACTGGAGTAATCCACTGCATTTAATATAATTTTTTTTTTTTTCCAAACCCAGAGAATGTCACCACAAATCCAAATTCCATCCAGCATTTTTTGTCCCCAAGTCTCTCCTGGATGTTTATTTCAAAATGGTCTAAATTAAGCCAAAGCAAGAACATTTTAAAGCAAATTATTGTTTCTTCAAAAGGAAAAACAAAGTCTGATATTCCAAAACCAGCCACAGCCAGAACAGAGCTGGGACAGATCTCATGACCAGCAACACACTCTCAGCTTCAACACAAATGTGCACTTTGTACACAATGAAAGCGAAAATAAAAAGCAGCAACAGAAACAACTCCATTACTTGGGATTTTCAGAATGAATCCAGCACTGAGATTGGAATATTGTGGACACTCTGCTCATGAACAGGGATTTACTGGATTTACAGGACTGCCCTGAGGCAGCAGCTTCACACAGGTCATTAACCGGGAAACAACACAAAACCAGGGAGCCACAGGTGGGAGCCTGCTTTAAGTCCTCGATAGGAATTCGCTATAGTTTGGGAAGAGAGCAGTGAGAAGGATTTTCCCTGCTCTCACTGGGGAAAGGCTGTTCCCAAAGCAGCACACGGGGTTAAATGTCAATCTGGGACCCTGAACAGGGAAACTGAAGTGCTGGGGGTGATGGGCACTGTGGCCACCAGCCCTGGCTCTCTCCAGGCTCCAATGTCTCTCCCTTGTATTTTCACACCTGGTTTCCACCCAGCTCCCCGGGCACACTCAGCTCACTCTGCTCATCACTGTGACTTTCTTCAGGCCGGTTCAGTGAGAGGAGCACAACTGCTGAGCTGCCCTGGACCACACAGCCAGTCCCAGCTCACTGGGCCAGCCCTGCCCACATCCACTTGCCACACACGTCCAGGGTCACTCTCACTTCCTTGGAGACACCACCCTGGCTCTCCTCCACCTGCTCCCCGGAGCAGCCAGGGGTCAGTGCCACAGGCCAGGGGGCAATTCCCTTCCCAGAGTCCCCACAGTTCCAGAGGGGCTCCCACGGGGGCTGTGCTGGCTCTGGGCACAGCAGGGGCTCTCCAGGTTGCTCAGGGATAGTCTGGAGCCATGCCTGTCCTGCCTGGTGTCCCAGAGGGAAAACAGCAAAACAGCTCAGCACAACACCCGTTCACAGGAGGTGCTCGGGCAGAGGGGAACAGCAAGGACATGCTCATGTCCCCGGAATGAATTTAATGTGGGTGCTGCCCCTGGATGTTCTGAGGGACAGGAAGAGGGCAGGGATTTATCTGTGTCCTCCATGGAGCCTCACTCTTCATCCCTCACTCCTCCCAGGCTGCCCGGAGTAGCTGTGTCTGCCCCTGCATCCCTGGAAGTGTCCAAAGCCAGGCTGGACATGTCTTGGAGCACCCTGGGATAGAGGAAGGGGTCCTTGCCCATGGCAGGGGGTGGAAGGAGATGCTCTTTAATGTCCCTTCCCACCTCAAACATTCTGGGAGGAATCCTGCTCCTGACTCAGCTCTGATGAGGGACAGAGGTAGCCTTGAAACAGAACAGTCCTGCTTGAAACAGGCCCCCAAAAGATATTAAAATGCATGGAGACCTGAAAAAAGAAAGGGAGCAGAGCAAGGTCCTGAATCCCTTATAAATAGCAGCAGAAAGCAGAGACATTTATCAGTGTCTCTCCCAGCCGAGCCGGCTCCTTGCCAGAAAGACAGAGCCAAAGGCATCAGTCCCTCACTCCCCTTCTGCTAATTGTAAATTCAAGTTTAATGCCAAACCCACAGAATGCCAGATCGGACTGGTCTCTCAAGCAGAAAGCTAAATTATACATATTGCTGTGTCTGAACAAAACTTGGACAGCATGGAAGGAAGAGGGGTCTGGAATAAGGCAGAATCATTGATATTCTGAGGGGCTGAGACTCCCCAGGCAGCTGGTGTGTGCTGCTGCAGGAGAGGGAGGGATTCCACAGTCACACAGACTCCATCTGACCCCATTCGTTTGGAAAGCACAGGAATCCTCCCCAAAAGGTACCACTGCCTGCCCTTGGGCACAGGGTGTTACATAACAGGAGGCCTCACAAAGTTCTCTTCCCTTCACTCTCACAGAAACACGTGGATTTACTGGATCCAGTCATTTCTATTCAGTTTTTTTCTGGATGTTTTGCAGGAATTTGAAGTGTCTCCTCCCTCCTGTTGCACAAGGTGTGTGGGGAGCCCTGAGCCTCCTCTGCCCCACAAGTGGCACTCCTGCTCCCTACACCTACATACACACACACACACACCTACACACACACACATTTTTCCTATTAGTAATTTTCCATAGAGGAAAGAGCCTGTAGGACACAGGAGGTTATGGGATGACACTTCCAGGTTGCAAGCAGCACATTAATTTAGTAAAGAAGCACCATTGACAGAGGTTTCCCAAATCTTTCCCCACCCATGAGCTGCCCGGAGATTCCACTTCTGCATGTTCAAGGCACTTTGGAAACGCAGCAGAGAAAAGTTTTATAAAAAGTTTTACTTGGAAAACAAGGAAGAACAATGACATAACTGCAGACAACAATAATAAAATTAACAAAATGCTAACGGCTATCCATTGCTTTGTCCTTGTTGATATAAAAAGTGTAACATCAGATCCAGTGTACAAATACAAAAAAAATTGTGCATAATAAATGTACTATAATACTGTACATACAGCATAAACCGTTCAATGAGAATGAATTAAATATACCTATTTGTCTCCTGACTTGGAAGACAAAAGAATAAAGTTCTAAAGTCCTAGAGTCAGTGTATAAACCTTTTCTGGGGCTGAATCACGAGCCAACGGTATCCCTGAAAATCAGCAGAGTCAAATATTCCCTTAATGGAAGCCATTATTCATGGGACTGCTGGTTATGATAAACTAGGGGAAAAAAAACACAGCCTATCAACTGAGTCAACGTTAAATCCAGACCGAGTTCTTCCCATCTCCTGACTTGCTACTGGCACTGCTTTTGTTTGAGCCCGCTTTGGATTTCTTCCCTCTGGAACTGCTGGGGTTGTTTTGGTTGTTGTAAGCCTGGATGGCAAGGTCCAGGCGGTCCTGAGCCACTTTGATTTCCCTCTGCAGGATCTCCAGGTCGGTGGGAATGTTGCCTTCATTGCTGCCGTACTGCTGTTCCTGAGCTATGTTGGCTTTGTTCTGCTTGTAGGCCATCTTGGCGTTGGACAGCTCCGTGCACTGCATCTGCTCCGGCTTCAGCGCGATGTTGTAGCCCGGGGGAGCCGACGGCGTGTTCCAGGTGAAGGGGTAGTTAAAGGTCCCAGAGTCAACCAGCTCCTTCTTCTTGGCATTCAGCGTGTCCCGGATGGTGCCAAAGCCCAAGTGCAGCATCTCCCAGACGTTGAGGAGCAGACACATGCAGCTCACCCCGTACATTATCAGCAGGAAAATGGTCTTTTCGGTTGGTCTGGAAATGAAACAATCGACGTTGTGCGGGCAGGGCTTCCTGCTGCACACGAACACGGGGCTCACCTGGAAGCCATACAGGAAATACTGCCCCACCAGGAAGCCAACCTCAAACAGGGCCCTGGCCAGGAGCTGCAGGACGTAAATCCTCATGAGCCCGTCCTCCCGGATCTGCCGCCGGCCGTCGTGCTTGGCTTTGGCAGGGCTCTGCTTCTCTTTACTCTCGCGGGCGCTCTCCACCTCGATCTCCGGGTACATCATCGGGTCTTCCTCGTGGTCACCCTCAGCTTCCTCCAGGCCCCGGTGCTGTTTCCAGCGGATGGGCAAGCTCCTCCTCCTGGCTCTCCTGCTGGCTTCGCTGTGCTCCACCATCCGGGCGATTTTATGGATGGCATAGCCTAAGTACAGCACAGAGGGAGTGGCCACGAGAATGATCTGGAACACCCAGAACCTGACGTGCGAGAGAGGGGCGAAGGAGTCGTAGCAGACGTTCTCGCAGCCGGGCTGCTCCGTGTTGCACACAAACTTGCTTTGTTCGTCATAATAAATGGATTCTCCTCCCACAGCAATTAGGACAATCCGAAACACAATCAACACTGTCAGCCAGATTTTGCCAACAAAGGTTGAGTGGTTCTGGATCTCCTCTAACAGGCGGGTCAGAAAACTCCAACTCATGGTGGTCAAATGAGTTTATCTAAAAAACAAACAGAACCCCCAAATATTTATGAGTTTATCAGCTCGAGCCTAAATGGTTCAAACTCAACCAAGAGAGTCTGAAAACTTGACTTTTACACCCAACACACATCCATGTTTGTGACCACCACCTGCTATCGGGATCCAGCTGCCAGAATTTGCTTGAAGATCCTACGTCTCCTCCGCAGGCTTTTGAGGAATCTGCTGTAAGAAAAAGTAGCAGTTCAGTATAATTTCATTTAAAAAGTGCTCCCAAAGCTACTCCCCAGCCCGAGACAGAGACATGGATGTCACAGGTTGATCAAAACATTTAAAGTGAAAGCTGAAGACTCCAAAACACAGTTGATGGGAAGACAAGCGCCCATGAGATTTTTGGGTGCTGTTGGCCACATTCCACCACTGACAAGAGGATTTATTTTAATTTGTTAAAGCCTGGGCTGGTAACCATGGTCTCAGCCACAACCCATGGGACAGACACACTGTTGTGTCCAAGGGCAGTACCAGCTGTCCTCATTCAGGAAGGGATGGCCCAGCCCGCCTGTGATGCAAAGGCAGGGCAACCTGGTGGCCTGAGCAGTGTCACCCTGCAGGGCCAGCCTAAGGACAGGGCTGGGCCAAGGAATTCCTAACTATGCTCCAACCATCCTGTGGATGGATTTGGGTCCAGCCCCTCTGGGAGGCTCAAAACCTTCCTCCCAGGTTCAGGAAAGATTTCAGTGTGGATTTTGTAATGAAAACCTGGCTAGAAAGAGTTACCTGTCAAAACTTTTAGAAGAGCTGCTCCACAGCAGTGAGTGGTAGGTGGCTGAGGGGAGAAGGGACGGCGCTGGCAGGAGCTGAGCGAGCCCGGAACTGCCGGGGCTGGCCACGCTCCCGAGCGGGGCTGGCACAGCATGCCAGGGGCAACCCTGCCAAATTCCAGTGCCTGCAGATTCCAGGTTGCCCAGAGAAGCTGTGGCTGCCCCTGGATCCCTGGAAGTGTTCAAGTGTTCCAGGTTGGACTGAGCTTGGAGCAACCTGGGGCAGCAGAAGGTGTCCCTGCCATGGCAGGGGTGGCACTGGATGGGCTGCAAGGTCCCTTCCAACCCAAACCATTCCAGGACTCCAGGATAAATCTGCAATCCTAACAGTAAAAATCCCAGCCTTGGAAACTCCTGTCTGGCAACACTTTGAACAAACCCCAGCAACACTGCAGGCCCTCCTGGAGCTCCAAGGAGTGAAACTGATAAAACACAGGAAGAACTGTTGGACACTGTTAGAGCAACAGGGGATGAGGCATCTTTAAGACTTTTGATGATGTCAAGTATCAGTTTGACACAAAGATTATTAAAAGAAATTATTACATCAGAAAAACATTTGGTGACAGATCCTTGTCAAAGCTCCAGTCAAAGCTCCAGCACTCTGATCTTAACCTGAAGAAATTGTTATTCTTCAAGAATTAAAAAGTCTTATTCTTAAGAATTCTTATTCTTAACCTGAAGAAATTCCAGGAGACTGGAGGAAAACCAGTACTTGGAACTATTCAACTTCTTCCACGTAACTACAGAGTTGTTCATAGGCAAAATAATGAAATGTGAGGAGATGCAAGCATGCAGAATTAAAGGATATCAATGTGATCTCCCTCTGGTGGAACTCAGTGTTTCACTGAAAAGCCAAGAGCAGGGATATGGTGTGGATGGGGTGTGCAGGACATTTGATTTATCACTTTATGACAGTGGGAGAAAAAAAATTAGCATAGGAGAGTATTAAAAAAGGCCATATTAAGTGATCAGAAGTAACAAAAGTCTTGACAAATGATTCCCATATTAGGCCCAAGATCAGTTCCACAATTACAGCAGTTCTGAAAATCTCTGGCAGCCAGGCTGATCGTCCTAAGCTCAACTGGGGACTGGCTGCTGACAAAATGGGCTCATGGGACATGAGTTTTCAGGCTGGGAACTGGAGATGAGAGTCACCAGTACAGGAAAACACAGATTGCTGGGGAGGCTGAGGCCTCCGGAACAGCCCCAGTGCCTGAACCACACGCAGGGCAGCTCAGGACCAGCAGAGCAGGGTTTTGTAACAGGGGGAGAGGCTGTGGGTGTCAGTTAACAGGGAAGGGAATGAGGCCCCTGAAGGTTCAGGGTCTCAGGGAGAGCTGCTGACACAGTGCAGGTGATGGATTGAGCCCTGGCTGTGTCACTGCAATCAGCGGCCAGGGGCTGATCTTACCTCCTTGTTAGCGAGACAGCCCCGGGCGCCTGCGGCTGCATCCTTCAGCAGTTGCTCCAGCATCAGAGAGTGGGTACAGGAGGCTCAAAACCAGCTGAGGGACAGGGAAGACGCCTAAAAGTGAGAGATTTACAAAGATCAATTTGTTTAGCTGGGAAACATAGGGGGAAAATGAAAGTGAATCCCAACAGCAACGTGTCAGGATCGTGATGTGCCATCAAAATTACCAATTAGGACAAAAATGCCCAGCCCTCACTCAGGTGGGCAGGCCACCAGCACTCAGCCCTGAAGGACATGTTTGAATCAGATGTGTTCCACAGATAACAGCTTTTAGAGGTGCATGCAATCTTCCCAAGGCTTCCATCCAAGCTCCCCTTCAACACAACCCTGCTGCCATCATTCCAGGGAGCACTGGCTGAAATAACACATTTTTAACAAGCAAAGAGACCAGAGGTTCCAGTCCCATTGCAGCTCCTTTCTGCAGCAAGGGCTTGGCACCCCCATTTCAGAAAGGCACCCAAGAGCAGCTCTGCCACTCAGGTTCTGTGTTCGTGGGAGACAGTGCTTCAGACACCCCACATTCAGCATTTCCCACTCAGATTTGGGGTCCAGATGAGGGGCACATGAATCTGGGGGTCCTGCACGTGCCTGAGAAGGGCAATGGGCAGCAAAGGCAGGTGAACCCCACATCTGGATCAGGAGGTTAACAGAGGAGAGGAACCCCAAAACCCCTCTCCCACCACACTGCTCTGCCCATCTCATCACCCTGGGCACCGACAGGACAGGCATGTCCACACTGACACCTCGTGATTCATCAGCTAAAAAAGAGACAAAACCAAAGGAGTTTAAGAGGCTAATTCTTATTCACTGAAAATGTCAGGGCCACACTTTTCACCGAAAGCAAACTACTAAGTAAATTTGAAATTAATTAAACACTGTTGCCAATGTAAATTTGGAGTAACAGCAGGAACCACCCTTTAAATTTTCATATAGTGTCACATTCCTCAGGAGTTAAGGACAGGGAAGCTTGAAATGAGTGCAGATTTCAGTAAGAGAATCTTTACTTTTAGACAAGCTGCTACCTCCTATCTAAGAAATTTCTTCAAGGTACATGCCAGCTTTTCACAGTGCATTTTCTACCTGCAGACAGGTACCAAAAACAACCCAGGAATCATTCCTGTGATTCCCAACCCAAATTCCACCAGCTGTATCAATGCACAGAGTGCCAGACCTATGTTCAGACATATGCTGGGGCTCCCACAGCCCTGGGATGCAGGAGGATTTACCCAACCTGTGGTTAACAACCAGGACCTGCCAATTAGTGGGTCCTGGCTGTGCAGCTCTGAAGCTGCCCAAGAGTTGATTCTCTTTGCCAAGAAAGTGTCACTTTGTCTATTTAGTCCTAGTCCTGAGCAGAGCTGCTGGGACAAACATGGGACGACCCAGGAGCAGGCAAAGAACTTCCTGGTCTTTAAGGAAATGTTTTGGTTCAAGTAAAATGACAGTCATTAAGTCTTGGAAAGGTTCAGCCCATCCAAATTCAATGCAGTACAAACCCAAGAACTTCCAAGTGGAATTCCGGTGCTGTCCTTCCGTTGTGTGGGATCAGCCAAGGTTAGAGGGGCACATTCTGCCTCTCCTCCACGTGCTGCAGCACCCAGACACATCCCAGTAACCTTCACCCAACGTACACCCACGCGCCTGCATCTGTTGTTTCTGGCAACATTTAACTCAATAATTTTCCAATGTTTGAAAGAAAAGTCTATGGACACTGACACGCATCTGAGAAAGGCAGAATGTCAGCAATTTCAGCTAATTTAAGTCATGCCAGAAAGTGCACTTGAGAGAGACTTTCATTTCTTGTATTTGTCATAAGTTCATTTCAGCACTTCCAGCGGAGGAGGCTCCTTGGAGCGGGCAGGATCCATGATGAAATATCAGGAGGCTTATCTCTGACAGTGGGCTGGCTCCTGAATTAAAGCTTTGCAGGCGCTGACATCCAGAGAGAATGAAGAAGAATTTGGAGCAGGTACATGAGAAAAAAGAAATCAGCTTCAGGTGAAGAATTTCTGGAGTTAACACAGCTGGTGTTCACATACAGCCAGGGAATGGCCCCTCACGTGTGTCGCCTCCTCTTCCCAGCCCATGGGGGGTTGGCTATGAATTTAAACATTTTAACATTCAAATTTTCACCTCCTTTCAGCTTTCTCCTCAAACAGCAACAACCTCCTGCCACCCAGGGTGGGAAGAACTGCACCGTGGAGCAGCAGTTACTGTAAAATGCTCCAAATCCAGCCCTTGGATGGGACAGGGACAGCAGTGGGGCAGGAGGAAACTAAAACACTCCAGCAGTGTCCCCATTCCCCTGAGATGGAGGGCACCTGGAGGGCAGGACAGCCAGCACCAGGTGGGTGTCAAGGCAGCCTCATTCCAGGCTGTCGAATCCCAAACACCTTCGGAACCATCTCCTGGCCTTGTCTTGGCACAGCCTGGGCTCAGCCCAGTGCAAACTGGAGCCCCTTGACTCCAGCCCAGTGCAAACTGGAGCCCCTTGTCTTCATCCCAGTGCAAACTGGAGCCCCTTGACTCCAGCCCAGTGCAAACTGGCAGCTACACCCAAAGCACCTGAGCAGGAGGGTGCAGGGAGTGCTGGTTTGGTTCAGCACTAGGCAGCCTGTGAGGATCATGGAGCTGGACTGCAGATCCATGTGAATCCAGTCCAATCCAATCCAAGCTCTCCTGTGATGTTTCTGTGGTACCAGGACTCAGTTCATGTCATTCCATCAATGCCAGAAGTGGGGCTGGGCACAGCCTCAGCATGTCCAAGGATGGCACCAAGCTGAGGGCACAGCTGATGTCCTGCAGGGAAGGGATGCCATTCCCAGGGATCCTGACAGCCTGGAGAAGCAGGCCCATGGCAACCTCGTGAACTTCCACAAGGCCAAAGGGAGGATCCTGGATCTGGGCTGGGGCAACCCCCAACAGCAGCACAGACCTGGGAGGGGGGATGGAGAGAAACCCCGCATGGAAGGACCTGGGGATACTGGAGGCTGAAGAACAGGATGTAAACCTGCAACAGTCCAGAAATCCAACTGCCCCCCAGGCTGCATCCAAAGCAGCGGTGGCAGCAGGCAGGGGGGAATTCTCTGGAGCCCCCAGCATGGGACAGACATGGAGCTGTTGGTGGGAGTCCACAGAGATGCTCCAAGGGCTGGAGCACCTCTGCTGTGGAGACAGGCTGGGACAACAGGGGTCATTCAGCATGGAGAAGGGGAGACCATCCTGTGACCTTCCAGTACAAATGGAGCTTGTAAGAAAAATGGGGACATTTTATCAATGCCTGTAGTGACAGGACAAAGGATAATGCTTTTAAACTGTGAGTGGGCATGATTAGATGGGATGTTGGAGATACTCTACCATGAGAGTGGGCAGGCCCTGGCACAGGGTGCCCAGAGCAGCTGTGGCTGCCCCTGGATCCCTGGAAATGTCCAAAGCCAGGCTGGATGGAGCTTGTCTAGTGGAAGGTGTCCCTGCCCTTTGATGGTAGGAGTGGTGGAGGGTCCCTAAATTTTTATATTTCACCAGCACCTCCTCAGACAAGGCTTCGTAGCCTCAAGGCAGTTGTTAAGGAAAATGAATATATCTACAGAAGACTTTTTTCCTCCCTAAACTATGTCTTCCCAGGTCATGCTAATAAAATTTGATTAATTTAGTAATGATTTATTTGTTTTGTTTTGTTTTTAAGCAGTTTAAAAAGACATGTGCTGAGCAGGGAAAAAAAGAAGAAATGCATGGCAATTCTGTTGTTAATCAAAAGAGGTTTCATGCTGCATGAAAGTAAAATTGGGCCCACAGGCTAATTAAAATAGTATTTGAATTAGGATGAATGAATAATTAGCATTATTCATTCAGATCTCATTTACATTGAAAAGTAAGAAATTACATGATTTACAAGTACTTTTGAGGAAGCATGGGAGTTCTTTTTTTTTTTTTTTTTTTTTTTTAACCTGGAAAACAAGTAAGACTTTACTGCTCAAGAAAGCAGAGAGCCGTGGTCAGACCTGGCACTGGAATGGGGCCAACACATCCTGAACCCTGGTGAGCGTTGTGAGCGTTGTGCTGATGCCACCTGCATTCCCTGAGCAGCAATTCCAGTGTCCATTGTCCTGAGTGACCCAAGAGCAAGGATGTGGGGATACCCCTGGGATAAGAGAACTCACAGTTAACACCCTTCTATCCTCTGTGAAGGAAGTGAGTTCAATCATCACCAATTTGACTCCTATTTTCAGTAATAAAGATGAAAAGGAATAAGAAGAGTGCACTGAATTTTATTTTTAATCTTATAGAATATTTGTGAAGGAAAAGACTGTGACTTTTTGGAGAGCACACTGCTCTTTCAAGTAAATCCTCTGTCATCTGGCAGGGCTCACGTGGCAACAGCAGAGAATGGTTTGGAAAAAGCCACAATGTCAATGTCAATTTGGAAACCATTTCTGAATGGTGCCTTCCAATCCCAGGCATGCTAACAAGGCTCCGCTGATTCCCAGACCAATCCCCCGAGTCTAAAAAACCCCACGCTGAATTATGAGACCACAGATCCTGTGTGGGATATAAATAGAACAGGAAAATATGGGTAAGAGGTAGGGATATAATAAGATTCTTGCGCTGTCAAAAAAATAAAGATGTCAAGTACGTATCTTTTTGAAAATCAACATATACCCACCCGAGCATTCAGCTTACAGATAAACTGGAATTTGCAGCTAAGACATGAACCTCCGGTCGCCTCGGCGTGCCCTCTAGGTACTGCTAACATGGGAAGCCAAGTGACAATTTTAGCAACACTCCCCCGCAGTGACAAAATTCAAATGAAATCACGACGTGTTTTGTGCTGGCCCAAACCAGCTTTTGCTGCACCTACAGCAAGCGTGCTGCTGCGGGAAGCAGCGTGTGCAGGGCGGGCACCCCGGAACGCGCGGGTCCCGGCGGGGCACAACGAGCACAGGACGAGCTGAGCCTGGCTCGAGTTCATCTGAGAGCAGGAGCCTGCAGTGACAACAGGCTCCATGGGAAATGGACACTGGGCTGTACAGTCTCTGTCACCTCATGAGATTTTT